AAACAGCGAAAAAACCAAGGCATTGTAACAAATATTTTAGCAGAAGTAAGCACTGTCTTTCGTTTAATGATCGTTTGTCAGAGTGAATCGCTTCAAGTTTAAAATGTTGCCAAAGTTTTCGAATATTGGACCACTAAAAATCCAACCAAAAAGAAAAGGGAAAAAATGCGAATTTCCATTTGCTGTAACTTTCTATGGCCTACATGGAAAACCAAGATGCTGCACGATTCTGATTTAATAAATATTTGAAAGTAAGCGAGGGAGGAATTCGCTCGAAAAAACACGCCGCTTGGCCTCCGTTTTCTCTCTTTTTTTTTGTTACTAAAGATTGTTGTTTATGATTTGGCGATGAACTAAGCTTAGTAAGTAGTTACAGGCTTCACAATTAACAGTTTTTTTTCAGGTTAAATCGAAGTGTAAATAGGTAAGGAAATAAAAACGGAAGGAAATAAAAAAAAAAAAGACTACCAATCGTTGAATATTTGAATGGAACATAACGTTTCCAAGTAATTTTAGAGCATTTTTTAAATAGTCTATGTTGGTCCGTCAGTTGCACCTATCTTCAAAGCTACCGGTCAACAATAACAGAAATACTCATGTTCAAAAGCCATAGTTTCTTAATCCGTCGAATTAATCGAACCGAAGTCGAAAATAGATCAAAGAGCGCGCATAATAAAAGTTCGGAAGTCAATCAATATATCATGTAAAAGGCGAATTATTTTCGCGACTTCACTAAGAAAGTTCCTTCCCTCTGCTAATTAAGATGTCGTATACGCCAAAGAAAATATTGTTTACTTTAGTTTTTGTTCAAACTCCATAAATAGAACAACAGAATTATCTAACAATAAATAACTATTTAATGAATTAAGGGAGCGTGCCCGACTTGTCTGTTACAGCTGTGTTTCAATGAAAATTCGCCTGTACTCATTTTCAGTCGTTGTAAAAAGATTTGCAATGAACCTCATTCAATGACCTGATTAACCTGTTGAGGAAACAGCTTTTAAAACAATATCGCAGTCAGTCACGTGCATGTCAATTGACGTCTTCACTGATCACGCCGGAGTAACGCGCGAGAAACATTGGCAAATAACAATCCTTTGTCATTAATCAGCCAATTACTGAGAAGGACACTCACAACTACAAACAGCTTGAGGAGAAACATCCAACATGGCACGAAACTAAAGCAGTAAAGTTAAGGGTGCAAATGGTACATACTCAAAATTATAGTAAGTGCAACCCATACTGGAGGAGACAAACATTCTTTTTACTGGGGTATACATGCATTGCATATCAAGAATCTAATAATTTTCAATATCACACTGGTACCCCTACCCCTCCCACCCTTCGCCGTCTGTCTCGTGGATCGCTTGTTTTGGAAAACCGATACCGACAGATATTATGTTTTAGGAAGAGTTCGATGTCATTTCATCAAAATTCCAGACCGCAACATAATGTATGAATTAAATAAAACATCTGAAAGATAGAAAGGAATATTTCAAGCATCTTAGACAAATAGAAAATAGAATATATTGTCGTCTTTGTCAGAGTCACATTTGATTTTCAAAACGAGCATATACTAAGACTTACAGGGCCAATTATTCACACGGGGTCTAACCCAAACCGCGGTTTTACGCAAGTAGAGGGCCTCAAGGATTCTCTGGAAGAAGGTTGAATTAATAAAGGTCATTCCACTATTAATTTTCGGCCGTCTTGACAATTTTAACTAAAATTAAACGTTCTTCCAAATTCATGATGGCTTAGAGCGCGATTTTGTTAAACAACGGCTAAATTTTTTTTAAATACTGAACCAGCCCCACAGGGCTAAAAAAATCATAATATTTATACCATGCATCATCTATAATCGCATATGTAGCAAGCCGCGAAAATTGTTCCACCCACAAAGTTCTCGGCATTAAAAAAAAGAGTAATGAAAAAAAGGATAATTCAAAGCTTAATGTAAAGTCGAAATCTACTTCTGTGAGGAGATTGATTTTCTCTCGATTTTCATTGGCTGTTGCCAAATTGAAAGCAAGAAAATAGAAAAAAAGGGGCATCAGTAGTTGATAAGTAAAAATGTTATGGTTATAAACAAAATACAGATGTTTTAGCAGTCGCATTAAAGAGTTCTGTAGCAGACGCCATTCTCGAAAGTAATTAGATGAGGCCAAAAAGACAGTGTAACGTTTCCGCTTGCGTCAGTTTCGTTGCCGATTTCCTTTAGACTGTCTGTTCTCTCAGACTCCGTATTCAAATCCGCGCAAAAGGTTATGGAAAAATAACCAGTTTAACAAAGAAATTTCTCAGCTGCTATAAAAAAGGGTTAAAATAGAAATGTAGTTTTAAAGAAGCAAGGAAACACCGTCACCATAGTAATATAACTAATCTATTCGGCCGGTTCTCTTTTTTATTTATTCAAGGGACTTTGGTTTCCCGCGTAGAAACCAATTATCGTATGATTTTTTTCCTGCAATTTTCGTTGCATAAAAATTAGATCCGATTTTGGCCATTAAAAGAGTATATAAGTTGTTCGGTTATCGCATCACTACTAAAAATGTTTGGAGATACAACTGTGGTAAATTGTTGTTCAAAGTCAGGATTACTCTTCACACATTTGAACTCTAGGAACGATGATTGTACCATGGCCCTAAATTTCTGAATAAATTCGAGAAGGTGATGGGATTATCAAATTTACATGCCATTTAAGTTTTAGAACTAAAGTTTAAAGATCGCGAATATTTGAAAGCAAAAAAAAAAACTGAACGCACAATCTATGAACTTGATCTCCTACTAAAAGATCTGGAAAACTTTTTTTCAATAGAGAATGTAAAAGCTTTAAGATTTTAATCCCTTTAGAATGATTCCTCAAAAGCCTGGCATTGAAAAGCAACGCTATTATTCATTAGAAGATAAAAACACGCAGGCATATAAATTCACAAGTCTAAAGTAAGGAAATAGCAGGGCAGCCGCTGTCTACGTCAAAGTGTATTTAAAAATGTTCGTCTTTGTAATTATTCACAAAGGCTGAAAACACCTGCTGGAGTAATGAATTTCTTACCATCTTTACTGAAAATGTAATCTGTTCTCGTTAAATTGCCACGAATTTGCGAAATAATATCATTGTGTCATCGAGAGCGCGCGCACATAAACTCAGGGTATTAAGAGAGAGACCGCATTCAGCGTTCCGTTAAATTTCATATTGGTTCCAGCCACGTCTGTAACTAACGAGAAACGATGGCGACTTATAAAGAATTTCAGAATGAGGTCAGTCAAGTTTTATTTAGTGATTTCAGTTGATGGGCACTACCATGAGAAACATCGCTTATAAATCAATGGCCACTGAAAAAGGTGACTCGCTTTGATAACCACGATATGACACAAACAAGGATCATGTGTCCCTTTTTCGGAATATCTCGCATTGTATTCCTTTGCAAGAGTAAAGAGAGAAAACTCCATTTGCTTTGAAATCTTTAACTTTGCGAGCGAGTCGCTGGTAAGAAACATTCCCATTTGAAAACAGAATTTTACTAATGACAGTGACCATTTTTTTGCGAAGAACGAAATTTAACCTTACGCAACCAACTGGCTGGATCTTGATTTACATTACAATTCAGCTTTTCCCATTCCGCCAAACAAAGGGAAAAGCGAGCTTGACGCTCTTTGTCAGCCGATCGTGATGGAACAAACGGAACCGGAGACGCCATAAGAGGACGTGCAATGGAAATTTAGTGTTTTAATTACACAAACACTGAAAAATTCGATATGATAAAGAAAACTCGAAGCTCAATTTCACGTCAGTATTTTTTTCGAAATTCATTCTGATTTTGAATGTGTGTACCGTTATTGTATGCGCTTTAAGTTATCAGTGTTTTGGGTGTAAATAAGCAAAATCAACGAATTTCGAGCTTCAATCTTCAGTAGTAATCGAAATTTCAAGTCTCACAGTTTTAAAAATAATAAAAATAATAAATGAGCTCATTGTTTTGCTTTGAAACTAATTACGTTTCGCACCGCAATGCTTCACAAAGAAAAAATGATTAGAGCAAAAGTGCTCGTAAATTGAAATGTTTAGTAATAAAAAAATCTGAATTTGTAAACATTCTACAGTTTTTTTTAATCGTGTGATTTTCCTATTGCAGTGTATGTCATGTAAAGAAAAAAATACTCTGCCGACGATTTAAGAAAAATTCGATTCGATGTTTCGTCAGAATGAGGAATTGTCTCGCTATTTCAAATAAAGAACCAGGTCAATTGATTTAACTTTGTAGGACAGACTATTTTTTATTTATGAAGAATACCGCCCAAACAATTATTGGAATACCACCTCGTTAAAACAAGGCTACGAGAGACGAACCACTAGCAGTCTTGGTTTTATATCAATGAATCAACAAACTTTGGAGTGCGTTATAATAATAACCGTGAAGAAACACCCCTCTACCCTATCGAGAAGAAAAAAACCACCCTGATACTGAGCACAGTGCCTTGCATTTTTTGAGACGAACAGAGTCTGTTCACTCAAAATCGTTTCATGTCGGGTTGCTAGGTGACTTGATTGATCCCTGGCAATAAAACAACGTCGCATCTTTTGTTAAAATTTTCCGTTCGGCCGAACTGTCTTGAGAATTCGTGCATAGCGTTTACCCTTCCATTCTTCATTAGACTTTTTCTGTCCTGATTTCACGATCATTAGCTATTGAAGGAAACAGACAGAGAGAGAGAAGAGCCACAACGCATGTTTCCTATTTCGTCACTCAAAACATGATGGTGACGCAGTGATTGCGTTTTGTTTCAAGAAGCAGATGTCATCAGTTTTGCGTAACATCCTCTCCGACAAAAAAATCACTTTCCTTCCTGCTTAATACCTTTTAATCTGGATTGCATCCTCTCCGACAAAAAAATCACTTTCCTTCCTGCTTAATACCTTTTAATCTGAATTGCATGTTACGCAGGTAGAGAATTCAGGAACACTTAACCCATCTACTTGTTTCCTATTAAATTTGCAGCCAATGGGAGGGTGTTCGTCCGCTGTGTCACCTGAGGACCCAAACGCTCAGCAAAACGCAAAGACAAACTGGTGTGTGTGCTGTGGATCAAGGTGGGTAAGAATATGAACACAAACAAAATGTAAATAGGTTCAAGACTTCACGTTCCTTTTCCCGTCCAAAAAAAAAAAAAAAGGACTGTATCAAGCCATATTGACCTCCAGCGTGGTCACTAACAGAATAATGGCGAAAAGACTATGGATAGAATGGTAGATATTTTCCCAGATCCTTTGAAAACATTTTGCTTCCACAAAACCCGAATAAAGGAGGCCTATACCCAGCCATATTGACCTCAAGCTTGGTCAATGATGGAATTATAATTATTACCCAATAAATTCATAAACCTCAAATACAATTTTTTTCGTTCGGTCTGGCCTAAGATTGGCTCTGTTGTTGCCAAAACGTATGGGAAAATTTTTCCTTCAGCAGGAAAGAGTTTCCTATTTTCAAATTAAAACTATCATCCGATACTTGTTACGTAATGTAAAAAAAAAAGAAATTACAAGATTTTCTGATATACGTCCATTGTCTAACAGACAAGACTCCACAGCTGCTCTGCTGTCCAAAAAAGAACAAGATTTGGACTGTGCACGGTAAGATAACGAAACACCTACATTTTTATTGATCATTCGCTTTTTCGAAAAATTCCAGAAAATTAAAGATGTTCTGACAACCTTCGAAACCCTCCGAAGAAGTAAAGATGATGTCGAGGACCGTTACTGGACAAAGTGTCTAGGGGAAAATTCATAAACCTGTGACTCTAATGTATTTGTTCTGCGGTTTCTCGATTCGTAGGCCAACGATCGAAGAGGCGAAGAAGTGGCCAACGTCGTTCGAAACTGTGCTAAAACACAAATTTGGTCTTCAACTGTTCCAAGATTTCCTTCGATCCCAATATGGTGAGGAAAATCTCAGTTTCTGGTTGGCTGTGGAGGATTACAAGAAATCGGACGAAAGCACTCGGGCAGAAAAAGCAAGACTGATTTATGAGGACTATGTATCCACTCTCTCGCCCACAGAGGTAATTCACACTCAAAATGACTAAAGAAAAATTAAAGCCGTTGTTCCATGTCGTCTCGTTAAAAAAAAAAAAAAAAAAAAAAAAAAACCTTTAACCCTTTGACCCCTCAGAGTGACTTGCATCTAATTTCTCCTTACAATATCACACCAGAATCAAACATTAGGGTCATGAGAATAAAGTAAATGATGACAAACTAAAGAAGCTCCTGGTTTTTAAACAAATTCCCCTCGTCAGCACCGTGGGAAATGTATAAAGAACAGTATGGAGAATATGCATACTGATATTATGCTGTAAGAGGTTCACGCATGCCAGTTTCTTTGTGCCTTTATTTCAGTTCTCGTATCTCTTTTCCGTTTACAGATTAGTCTAGATGCTAAAGTACGAGCAGAAATCGATAAAAGCATGAGCAATCCGGATAAAGACACCTTTAAATGCGCACAAGATCATATATTTACGCTAATGTACCATGACTGTTTTCCAAGATTTATCAAATCGAAACATTACAAACAACTTTTGAAGAAACATTGACCCAGGCTGGTGCGCAGCGTTGACTTTTGAACAAAGACGGCGACGAATTAACTCTTCAGTTCAAGCATGGGAAAGCGCAGCCATTGAAATGTTTTACACAAGATGCGGATTACTATAGAATAATGCGAAGTTAATTTACAGTACAAGTGGTCATGAATTTCACCTAACTTCGATGCATACAACCATCTACTGAGTATCAATTTACGACTCAAATTATGATTCCGTACTCATCAACTCATGAAAAATTCATTGACAAAATCTTACACAGGAACAGGATGAAGAATAAACCAACCAGAATACTCGATTCCCAAACCGCCGAACTAAGTAAGTGTTGCTTTCCCCTTCCAATTCCAACTGTGACTTAGATCATTTATGCCTAAATATCCGTTTTCGATTCAAATTATTGATTTGATTACAGAGTTTTGTCTGTTCTTCCTTCCTGCATGTTCTTTACTTTTTTGAGTCGTACTGTAGGTAAAGTTCTCATCCAGCCTGAAGGTCAGAAGAATTATTACTTAATAGCATAACAAAGACATTTTGATTTTTACCCCAACTTGACCAAAAAAAGCAAAACCCTTACAAAGGCATTCTCGTTTAGGAACACTGGGTTTATATTAGGTTCGTCTGTAAATACGATGTAATATAATAACACATCAAGTGCCAGTGGATAAGAGGCTGCTGACTGACACCCGTTAAATTTGATTACCGTAGTTGTGACAAATTCTTGGTACATCTAATGATATCCATAAACAGAGTAAATAAGATAAGTTTCTATAAGGAAAAACGCCTATGGGCACTTTGTAAAACAGTTTAAACAGGCCAGCTGCCTGGCCTTTTTTAGAGCAAAAAACATTGCCAAAAAACATTCTTACTTGTAAAACTTAAGCCTCAAAGTTTTGCACTGTTTTGGATCGATTTTGTCTTGATAAGTTTCTAGCGTTTTCTAAATAACTTACAAACTTGCTCGCGTGTCACTTTCTTCAAGACTATGGAGATTTTGAACAGTTATCACTGTTAGTGACTCAAGTAGAGCAATGAGTTTCCTTTTAAGTTAGACAGACAATTCAACAGTTTAGAAATGTTTCCTCAGAGACCTAAGATATTTTGTAAATAGAAGTGTGGTACGAACAACTTGTTTCCTTGAGACATGTCCTCGCAACACATCTGTACAGCTGCTTGAGTTTGCGGTCAAATGTTTATTTATAAGATAACACTGTCGTAATAAAGAGATTCGAATAAATGATCAAACGAAGGCAAGAAAACGCAAACAAATGATTAGATGTAATAAAATGTAAATTAAAATAAATTGTAAATAGATTACAGGTTGAACTGGTGGAAAATGACCTCTGTTTACTGGGCCACAACTTGCAAGAAATTTGTACAAACTTGTGAAATAAAAGTGGGTACTGAGTTTTGACCATCGTGTTTTGACCATCGGTAGCTTGTCATCACAAACTTGCATTCACATAATTTCCTCTCAGAAAATGGCAAATAGGGCAAAATGACAGATGGCTTGATTTACTGTAGAAGTATGCCCGTTAAAAGAGATTTCAAATAGGAAGTTCCAATTCATTTTATTCTGTTATTTGTTATGACTTTAATCAAAACCTTTGGCACAGATTAATACAAATAGTTTACACAGCTCCCATCACTTTGGGAATCCAAGTTATCATGCAATCACAGTAACTACAACAGCAATTTTAAATTGAGTGTCAAAAGCAATCCAGGATTACTTTGGTTTCGCTTTACTTCGTTATGTGATTGGTCCAGAAAACTGGTGCCACTTTCTTAGCCAATCAGATTTTAAACCAAAACCAATCACGACTTGGTCACCCGCGTTTTCCCGCTTTAGGTAGCTTGATCGTTTTTACTTTGAGTTCTCATTGGCTCTGAAGGGTATTTTCATTTCTCCTGATTGGCTGTTGGTTTTGGATTTACGACACTCAATTGAAAAGCGCATTAAGAATAATTCTAACAGATACTATCTAGATTTCTAGCTAGTTGTAAATAAATATGGTTCGAATGCAGGCAGTCTTTGGTAAATTCAACCTCTAAATACGAACCAAATAATGCGCTGACGAACAAAAATTATTACTGAGGACTGCAGTCGGGAAAAAGATGAAATCTGCAAAACTTTGCTTTGTCAACAAAACTGTAAAAAAAGAAGTTAAAAGTGTTTTAATTGATTAATTTTAGAAGACCGATAATTCTACATTATAGGTGCTTAATACATATAATTAATCATGTTATTTCACATTTACCACACGTGGCGATGATTACACAATTATCGCGGAAATTTAGATGATTAAGTTTAATAGCGAGTGTTCGCTAAATTGCCAAACTAACAATTTGACCTACATTATCCACAATATGTAGAAAATAACTAAAAATAACTTTTTTTTAAAACAGAATTAAGTTACCATTAAAATGAATAAGAGATGTAAGTTTCTGTGGTACCACATCAGCGGTTTGGTTTTATCAACTGAGTTGAAGATGTAAACTGGCTTCCGTAAAGAGTTACTAAAGCTGACAATTCGAGCAAACAGGCCTAACATGGCCCAGGACAACTAGAACGTAACAGTACATGGTAAAAAAAAATCATATGGGGGGGGGGGGAGGGGGAGGGGAAAGGGGGGACAACACAATGGTACGATTAACACAGACTTCATTCAACCCCACTTCAAGGGCGCATTAACAATATTTGACTAGATAAACTGTAATGTATTAAGAATCCTGGGTGGGTTATTCTTTTTAAGGACACAATACAGATGAACTAATGGTGATTCTGAAACCATAATATCAATTTACATTGTTGAAGCTGAGATACAATATACTGTCGTATTGGACGGAGTTGTGAACTCTATCAAGCGTGAGTATGCCTACCAAAAAAATTTGTTTTTTCAGCCGATCGAAATTTCAATTCTCTAATATTGCGGAAAGTATTCCTATTGAGAGCGTCTCGCGAAGGAAAGTTTTAATTAGCTGCCAGTTTGCGGCATTAGAAAAAGATAGGAGGATCACTACACAAGGACTACACGTGGATAACGCAAGGTCCGAAGACAGAACAAGTGATGGAATACCAAACTCAGGGGTTTCACCAACTTTTCCCCAGGCGGTTGCCGACGGTGTAACAGGTAGCCGTGCCTTGAAAGGGGCAGGGTTTTCAAATTTAGCCGGCGCCCGGCGCAAGTCACCGGCTACTTCAAGCATTTGCGCCGGGTACTTTTCGTGTTCCAGCACCCCACCCCGCAAGGCCGCCGTTATCGCGATGAGATAGTGCTCCGGCTACTTTACAATTTCCTCCTGGGGGGCCGTGAGGAAAAAATCAAACAAAAGAGCCTGCTCGTAGGCTCAACAGTTAGCGGTAAGAGGTTTTATAGGAGGAGGTACACCGCTAGTAACCTGCGCTGAATGAAATCCTTGCAAACTTTTAAGACCGGAAAGACGAGGAAGACGAGACCGCACTACGTTAGCGTCTCTCTCTCGCGCACTCTCTCGCGCACGAAACTAGAGGAGGATTGCTAGATGGTGATGCAGAACAAAGGGTTACACCTAGTTTTTCAAAGGACTCTTTTAACCCTTTAACACCCAAGATCTGATTGTTAATTCTCCCCTCTAGCTGCTACACATTTCCTTGTAAATTAGTTGCAAGAATTTGGTGTTAGATAAAGAAAACAAATTCTACCTGATACATTCGAATACTCTCATTACCAGCTTGCTAAATAGTGGACAGATATTGTAGGGAGAAGTTACATGTGAATCACTTCTGGGCGTTAAAGGGTTAAGGGCTTACATTCGAATGGACGTTATGTATTCGGCGATTTTTATCAGTTACGGAGGGGAATTAAAATTAAAATCAGAGTCGGTCACCGCCTGGATTCATCATTGGGTTAAGGGGGTACGCCACCATTGGTGATAGAATTCTATCTACACACAGGCTAAACACAGTGGAGGTCCCTGAATACCTAACTTATACCCCCTCCATTTACGCGAGGGACCTGCTTAAACCAGGATCATGTGACAAACATCCTGTACTCTGCTAGAATTGTTCGCTCTTTATACAAGGCCCTTGACTTGGCCTCTTGGCGTTTGTTTGAATTTCTCTTCTGCTTTGCAGCTGTTGTCAAAGCAAACCTCAAGAAAAGTGGTTATACTTTCATACACATCAATCATTGAAACATGGTGCAATGTACTTACTTTCCAGCGGTTTCCACACTCTAAACACAGAACGAAAGTTGTCATGGGTTCATCAGCGCTTCGTGTTTGTAGTTGTGTGTAGGTAGTCCTTCGCTTGCCACATTTTCCACATTTAAACAGTGCAGTTTCGGTACCTTGGTTTTTAGCAACTTGTGCTTCACGAATACCCTCTTTGGCACATTCCTGCCGAAACTGTTTCATCTCGTCACTTGCCATTTCCTAACAGGGAAATTTCAACACAGCCGGTTAAAAACCTTTGATCTCCAAAGTGATTGTGTATATCATGTACAGTCCAATTTCTCATAAAAATTATCCTTAACCCTTTAACTTCAAGAAGCGATCACCATCCAACTTCCCCTTATAATATCCATACATTCTCCAGCAAACAGGTAATGAGAATACTCAAACTTATCAGGTCAACGTTATTTCTCTTGATCAAACACCAAATCCTCATAACGAATTGCAAGGAACTGTGCAACAGCTAAAGGAGACAATTAACAATCACATCTTGGGTGGGAGTTGAAGGGTTAATTGATAAAAAAATGAATGGCTGTGGTATAGTGCACTGTATGTACAGTGCAGTATGTAACAAACGTAGAGCAATGTAACAGAACAGTTGTAGTACTACTGATAAGCTTTTCATTTGGGTAACAGCACACATCATTTACTACCGGTAGTTAACTGAGCCACAGTTACACCAGGGGTTCTGATAACTTTTTCAATGAGCAGCTTCCCATGGTGTCATAGGAGGCTGTGCCCAAAAAATGGGCTATAAGGCAAAACCCAAACACAAGAGCCTGCTTGCTGGCTAAACAAATGGCAGTAGCAGGTCTTTAAGGGGACAGTGGACTGTCAGTAGCTGGCCTTTATTGAAACCTTCATTACACCTGCAAATTGTAATTGACAAGTACACTTCCCTGTTGAGTTATACCCACTGGCAAATGTTATTTGCAGCCAGTGT